GGTTCTCATCTGTTTGGACTGAACTGCTGTGTGAACCCTTTGGGTTTTTTTCCTTCCCTGAGACTGGAGCTGGTGCCATTTTTTTTCTCCCCACCATGTGGCCAGCCATTGTGGGGTTTTTTCTTTCCCTGGCATTTTGGGTTTTTTTTGTTCTGGTGTGTGTGGGGGTAAGTTCTGAAAATTCAATATCTAGCATTTATTCATCTTTTTTTCCTCTGCTGTGTGGGGACTCTGTCAATAAACAGTTGGTTTTTCCACTTTCATCCACTTTTTTTTTTTTTTAATTGGTGGAAAGGGATTGTTGGAACCCTTTTCTTTATAGGAAACACTCATTTCCAGAGTGTTTTTCTCCTAAATTTGTCTTTAAACCAAGACACATTGCTGTTCTCACACTTTCAAAGAAAGCAACAACTCAAACTATGGCCAGGATAAAACATTGTTACAACTAAAGCCCACTCTCTTGCAACCCTAGAAACAGTGGTCCGAAAGGAGACCCTTTGAGCTCTCCTGGAATGCAGCAGGCTCTGACCAGCAACGTCCCTCTGAGTGGGACATCTCTCAGAGCCAGCAAACCCTCAGGTTTTCTATACTTGGAGGACCACCGAAACAAAACATATCCTGGGCCAATATCCTCACTTTTCAAGGCCAGATCCTTCACCCATCAGGAGATGCAAAAGGATCCGAAGTGAGTATTCACTGACCTCTGAGGGGAATTTTTCACAGGTACCTTCCTTGCACTGACTGTTTCTGCCTGGGTGCACGCCCCTGCACATATGCTATAGCAAAGCTGAGAAATACTGCTTTCTTAGATGTTTAAGTACCTCAGATATCCAAGTAAGTTAGGCCTGTCTGTAAGGTTTAGTTATAAACTTACTTAAATGCTGCTAAGTATTGTTGCTAAGTTGTTAAACAACTTATAAGTTAAGTATTGCTAAGTGTTCTTCTGCTGAGTTGCTATGTATAACTTTGAAGTTATAAGTTAGGTTAACTGCTGTTAAGCGTTATTCCTCTGTTAGATTGTTATGGTTAAGCTATAAATTAAGTTATAGGTTAAGTTAGGTATAAGTTAAGTGTTTTTCCTATGTTAAATTGTTAGGCTTAAGGTGTAAGTTAAGTTAAAGTACTGCTAAGTTTGACTGTTGTTAAACTTTTGGGCCATGTTCCTTTTTATCCTTGCCTCTACTCTTTTGACACACATAGCCCCCCACACCCACACATCCACACACAGCCCCCTAGATAGTTCATTTCTGGTTTGATTGCCTAGATTTTGTTTGGTTTTGTTGTTGCTTGTTTTCCTTTGTTGTGCCTTAGCTGTCTTATAAGTAATAGACTCAATCTTGCCAATGAACTTGTCATGCTTTGTTGATTAATATTAAATCTGACTTTTGCTCATACCCTTGCCAGCGATTTTTTAAGCAATTACAAACTCTCATCCATAACACCTACACTGCACTCAAGGTAGAAGGATTCAAGCACTGGGTTCATCACACATGGGTAAAGCAATCACATATTGTGAACTAGTGGATAATCTTTATGCATGAAAATATGAAGGAAACAAGATTAACTAACACTGGGAAGTTTTTTATTTTATTTCTCATGGGGGGAATTTGTATTACTTGGTTTTCGCTTAAGAGTTTTGTAACAGGTTGATTACCAATACCAACCTCTGCAGAAAATCCAGTTCTGTGGGGTGTCTTAGTCAGCAAGCTGACAAAAATATGGGAACACGTGGGAAGGAAATAGTACCCATGCCAATTGGGCAGGGATAGAAGGAGAATAAAATGGACACATAAGAATGATACTCTTGAGAATTGCAATATCTCAAATTCAGATCTGAGAATAATTTTAGGAACTATTTATTGGCTGACAGATTGCACTAATACACCTTGGGGATGTCAAATACCAGAAGTATGGAATAGACCTCAAACAGGACAATGGGAATATATCCAGCCAGTTCAGTGGTGTCTAGACTGGGAAGCGAGTCCAGGCCTCCCTGAGGACCCCTTACAGGTAGGTATAAAATATCCTGATTTAATAAGATCAAGGCAAAAGGATCCAAGGACAAAGGAAAAGTGGAATTGCACTCAAATATACATTTGTACTAGTAGGAATCCTGAGGTACAGCAGCTCATGACTGTAGCCCAGGCTCAAAGGTTGGGATGTGTTTGTAGAAATTATTCTACCTTTCTTAATGACACCTGGTCTCACCTAACAAACAATGAGACTTGGAGAGATATAGACTGTCAGCAGGACACAGTAAAATCATTAGGACAAGCAGTATGGATAGGAAGTAATGGAATTTGGACCACACATTTGCCCTTGGGAGAATCAAGAGTGCAATGGACACTGAGAGTATTATGTCCCTTGTGGAAAGAGTCACCCTTGAGAACCTGACTATGGAGGAAAGTTAAATGTGACAAAACTTGGAAACATCCCAGTATGGGATCTATAGTGGGATGGATTTTAGAATCCATCTTTACTCCCCAAATATCTACCTTTAGGAACAGACTAGTCATTCAAATTTTGACTCTACAAATGGAAACTTTAGTGAATGTAACTAAATTGGGGTTGTAGCAGGATGTTCCCCTACCACAGGAGGGTTTATCTGTTCTGCCTATCAGCTGGTGGGATAGCTCAGGGCATCTCCCCCCTCGCATGAATTTGCTAATTGGTGAGATAATGCAATCAGGACATCTGTCCAATAGTGAGTTATTTCTGGTGCCATGAAGGTGGCATTCCTAGTTGGCAATATCTTGCCATGAGAGTGAGATTGAAGGAAGATAAGCTTGAATTTCTGACTGACAGACACTTCACTTTACAAACTATAAAAGCTACACAAAACTTTCACAAAGCAGACATCTTCTGCACATTCCCTGGAAAAGTGTGGGGCTTTTCCCCGAAGTTGGGATGCCTATGTCGAGGTTACTTTTCCGGAGGTTGAATGAAAGGACTCTATGTGTACCCCATCATCAATTGGTGGTAAGTTACATTGACTCCTAATCTTTACTATTTCTTTGTTAGCTGTACCCTTATGTTGTGCACTATTTTATGTAATCTACTAGTAGTTCTTTGTTTTTAACCTGTGTGATAAGTAACTCTGTTTAAGGCCTTTTGTCTGTTAATCTTCTGTCTATTCAATAAATAACTAATTTTTTAATACACCTGATCAGCCATTCTTGAGAACTTGTAAGCCAGAGTGATTTAGGTGCAGGTCACCTGAGTAAAGCTGCTGCCAAAAATCTGAACTGAAGGCAGGGCTGGTCTAAAGGCTCTCACTTGAGCTATAACAAGGGTTTACTGAAATAAAGGAACAATTGCAAGACTGGCTTTAGACCTATTGCTGTTTAATGAACATGGAATATGTGGTTATGTGAATTTTAACAATACTTCTTGTGTGTACATTCTAAATGTGACTGCTAAATTGGATGATCAGATAGAGAGGATAAAATTGGTTGCTGCATCTTGCAGAGAATTAAGGGCAGGATTAGAAAGTAAATGGTTGAATAAAATATTTAAATGTCACAGACATATTTTATGAAAAATCCTTTTGCCAGGATCTTTTCTCCTGAGAAGCTGGGAAGCTTCAGCTTCTCCATGTTTTGCTGCTTTGGAATGTGATTCGGAGAATTGTTTACCCAGCATGTGAAATTGTTTTTACTATCATTCCTTTCCTTTCCTTTCTAGCCTTCTGATGGAGCCTTTCTCTCTATTCCTTTTAGTATAGTTTTAGTATAGCATTTTACTATAATATAATATAATAAAATAATAAATCAGCCTTCTGAAACATGGAGTCAAGATTCTCATCTCTTCCCTCATCCTGGGACCCTTGAACACAACCATATTTAAACACTCGGATTTTCTCTGACTGGTTGGTTAACCTCATGCTTGCAAAGTATAATTGTGATCACAGTAATAATTGTGATTACGATACTTGCTTTAAGCTGCATAAAACCTGATTGCTAATGCAATGCGAGGAACTTATATGACATTAGTAAAAAAACAAAGTGAGGCTTATGAAGGCTTGAAGGGAAGATTAGCTTCATTAGCTTCACAAGCTTCAAAGGAGGGAAATGTTGCGAGATGAAAAATTGTTTGCACCTGGTGGGCTAATACCATGCTTATTCTTAAAAACCCACTGGCCTATTGTGACAGGACCTTTCACCCCTGATACAGCAAAAGCTTATTTGTTTTCCCCCCATGGCTCAGTGAAGTCAGAATAGCTTGCCTTGTGGTGAATTATCTCAACTGAAAAACATCGTTAGCCAGCAATAAACATCCTGCCCTGAATTCAGGGGAAAGGATAAGCAAAGATTCGTGACTGACAGACACAGCGCTTATACAAACTATAAAAGACCACTATAACTTTCATAAAATCAGAAATCTCTTACACACTCTGAGTGTGTGGGGAGTTCTCCTCAAAGTCGAGATGTCAGCCTCAAGTTACTCTTCTGCAAGTTGAGTGAAAGGAGACTTCTGTATGCCACTATAATTCGTTGGTAAGTTACATTGGCTCCTAATCTATACTGTTTCTTTGCTAGCTGTAACATAGGTACCTTTATTATCGTGCACTGTCTTATGAACCTACAAGTAGTGTTTGTTTTATCCTGTGTAGTAAGTAGTCTGGTTAAAGTTTTATGTTTGTTAATCTTGTGTCTATTCAATAAATAACCCATTTTGTAATAGACCTAATTGGCCATTTTTAAGAACTTGCAAACGAGAGACATTTGGGGTGCAGGCTGCCTCAAACAGAGCTACTGCCAGAAATCTGAGACAAAGGCAGGACTTGTCTAAGCTCTCCCATCTCCATTCATAACACCTATGGAGCTCCACAGTACTTATTCTGTAGGAAGAAGAACTGGAAAGCAACTGATGCCTAAAGATTTTTAGCTTTCTAATATATTTTTTCATGTATTTTTAGCTTTGTAGACTGCTAATACATGGTTGAAGCTTCTAACATTTTTCCTACCCTTTTCCCATACATTTTAGAACAATAAGCTAACCTTCTAACACAATCCTGAAATACTGTTTAGTCTTATTTTCAAGAAGAGAACCTACAACAAGGACATTTTCTTTTCCAACCAGAATCTGAGAAGACACAGCAAGAAATGGGGCAAAGAAGGCCCTGGACCAATTCCAATGGGGCAGTACCTGGGGGAAAATTACCTAACCAAATGCTCTTCTAATTGGACAATATTTGATAGGTATACCAATCAACTAACCTTATAAAAATTGTAGAAATACTGTATCACACATGCATATCACCATATTGTGCACCTTGAAGGCTTTTGATTAAATATTTGTTTTATGTTATAATTTTAACACTGTTTGGAAAAGAGCTGTGTTTTATTTCAGGCAACAGTTTTGGCACCACCAGACAAGACCTTTGGGACCCTATGGAACATCTCTGAATCAAGTTACATTCTGCTGGAAGCTCTTCTGCAGCACCTTTTAGGAGTTTCCTGTGGCAATCTGCGAGGCTCTGTGAGTCCCGATCCCACACAGAAGCAGAAGGTAATATAAAAACAATTCATTTTTGGTAATTGTGCTAGCAATTTTTGTTTTTTCCAGAAATAGGCAGGTTTTGGGGACTGGAATATGACCTTTTTGTGGAATCCTTTTGGTTGTGGTCTTAGGAGGTCATTTGTTTGTTCAGTCTTTGACGGTTCACCCCAGCACAGGGAGGGGCCCTGGAGGTCTCACTTGAGGCTCCTAGAGGCTTTTCTCCTCTTTTCGTTTTTGCCCAGGGAACCACAGGTTAACCCCAGCTTGGCTCAGCTTGTGGAAAAGGAGGGAGGGAGTTGGGGTGCTGAACCATGCTTGGTTCTGAGACAAGAGTTTTATAGTGCAGCAAGAAATACCCAGCTCTAGTGGTGGTGCCCAGCACCAGCTACCAGCATCACAACCTCGGGTATGCCGGTTCTACTCCTGACTCAGGGAAGTGGGGTTTTTTCCTCTCTTTTTTTCCTTCGCCCTCTCCAGTCAGAGTTTAACCTGGTTTGGCTCGCTTTTTCATAATCCGCGCTGCACAGTTTTAGTCTCCTTGTTGCGTGTAGGCAGACATTCCTCCCCACAGTGGCTCAGGTGAGCTGCAGTGAGCCACATAGCAGCCGCCATCTTGATTTTGTGGAAAGGGGTGTGGGGGAGGAGTACGCTCTGGACCAGTGCTTCCTAGACTGCAGTAGCCTGCTCATGCTGATCTAAGTGGATGGTGCACAGAATTAGGAATTTGACTTGACACTTCAAGTCAGTGGGTTCAACACATGCTCTTGGAAGTGTTATTTTTCTTTTCCTTCCCCTGCCTAAAATAGAATATGGGGTGTGGGCTTTCAAAAGATGAAGAAATTCCTGATAATTCTGCCTTAGGTTTGGCATTATGACATTAGGGGGCATTGACTGGCTCTAAGACATCACTTGAAAGCAAAGAATTAATTAGGCTGTCTATGCAGCCTTGGCCTTTACATAATTTGGAGGGAGGAAAGGCTTGGCCATGATATGGAACCCCAGAAAACATTATGGTATCTCAGCTTCTGTCTATTCTCCGCCATGAACAAAGATGGCAGGAAGTTCTGTATTCAGAATTATTTTTACTCCTTATAAACCACCCAGAGTAGTGAAAATGTTATGAATCAAATTAAACTCTGGTGGAGCAGCAGCCTGTTATGGTTTTGAAAGGAAAGAAAGAGAAAGAGGAGAAACAGTGTAAAGAGCCCCTAGAGAGCAAAATCTGTGTCAGAGATCCAGATATATTAGACTTAGGTTTATTGATAGCTCTGAGTTTGAGGGGACTGGGGAATCAGGGACCCGCAAGAGTGGCTCCCGGTGCACCACCACCTCTGCTGCAGCCACAACCCATCCCTTTGCAGCCACCGCTGCCGCCACCACTGCCTCAACCTGCTCCTTTGCAGTTGCCGCTGGTCCTTCTGCAGCCTTTGCCAGGTGGAGCTGCCCAGCTGCGCAAACATGGTCATAGCCCAACTCACCTCCTGCCCCTGGGACCCTTCTATGCTGCCCACATAGGAGATGGGGATATGGGTCCTGAGAGTGCTACCGGGGTGGCTTGTGTGGGCACTGCCATTGTGGGTGGAGGTGAGGTTGGGGGTGGAGTCCCACATTGCCCGTGCTGCCAGGGGTAGCTCCAGCCCTGGCTCTGCTACCTTTGTTACAATCCTGACTGCCACCGCCAATTGGTGGTGACCTCCCCAGCCCCACCTGAGCTGCCCACAGTAGCCCCACTGCCTTTGCTACTGCTGCAGGGAGGGGCTGGGGGCAGGGACCAGCCCACCCCAGGGGATGACTACCTCTCGTGGGCGGTGCAGCTGTAACTGTCATGGTGGGTGGTGCGGACGAAACCCTCTGCCAGTAAGGGTGGGGGTGGGCCTGCTGCGCTGCCCACAGTCCAGGGCAGGGGTGACAAGAGCCTGGCTCCCGCAGTGGGATGGGCCATCCCAGCTGCTTCACTCTTCCCTCCTGTCTATGCTGCTCAGGTTGAGGGCGGTAGTCCATGCTGCAACAAAAGGGGAATGAGGCGGTGGGCAGGAGCCTGGCTTTCCCATCTGCCCCTCCCTTCTCCCCCACCTAGGCAGCCTAGGGTGGGGGAGTGGGATCCAGTTTTGGGCCAACAGTTTGGTGCTTCCGGGGTGGCACTGGGTGGAACCTGGCTCGTACCCGGTGGGGGTAGCTCTGATTCAGTCAAGTGGGGAAATGTGATAAACACATATTATAGTTTTGGCTTTTGCAAATATTAAAGTGGATGCTATATGCCATGCATAATGATATAATGTTTACTTTTACAGAAGTAGCTATAGTTGTGAAATAATAACTAATGCTTTTATTTTTGTAGCTAACTGGCAATAATTAAAATAACTCAGACATGTTTGTGAAGTAGCTGATGTTGATTTAGAGTTCTTGTGGTTAACTTACTGTTATATGTATTATGGTAATTCGTGCTGGTAGAGAATATATAGATGCATGAAATATGTCCAAAATATAAAATTCTAAAACACACTAGCAGGGGAAAAGGAGTTGCTTCACAGGGTGACGAAATCGCAGCTGGCAGCAGAGGAGGAGGTATGCAATTAACATACAAAGAGAACCTAGACCAGCACAGGAGATGGTCATTCTCACTGGTATGAACAGGAGAATGCCCAGCGATGATGGCCCATGAAGATGTCCAACTTAGATAAACAGAGCCATCAGGGACATACATCTGAATACCAGATTCTGGTAACCGAAGAATGAACATACATTGGTTCCCGGACAGGGTTTTGTCCAACACAGGACAGAGAAAGGAAGCAACATGAATATGGAGAACCCTGAAAGGAGACAAAGAGACTCTGCCACGGCCTAGAAAATGAGCATAAGAACGGACTCTGCCAAGCAGTATTCGTGAACTGTGGGGGATTTGGCACAATAGAGGTCGAATCTGTGTTCACCCAGCTCCGAACCCAGGGTCGGTGCTGTCCTTGATTGTTGGCTTTCGGGGCTGTATATCGGTCGCAAATAAATTCTATTTTTATTTTTATTAAATTGGCTGGATCGATTTTTACCTATAACAATCTTGGTGGCCTTTCCTGATGTGATCTGATTTAGGATTCCAAGGACCCTTCTCCCAGCCCTGGCAGCACCCCGCTGATTTCAGCGGCCGGACGGGATTGGGAAACCCAGTGGAACCAATCAGAACCACAAAGCAAAAGCCAGAGCCACAACCAAAAATGGATAAAATGGGCCCAGAGCTCTTGGGAAAATCAGAGCGAGGTCTCCGAAGCTGCAGCAAAAATTTTTTCACTCATAAAAACTACGTGCATGAAGAATCCACGCAGGAAAAAGGACCATAAGTATTGCGTGGTTGAGTGGGGTGTGATCAAGTGTGTGTGTGAGGCGTGACACTGTCACAAAGCAAGTGTGGACCCCAAGATCGCAGTTCCACTCTTCCGTGAGGAAAGTGGTCGGTTGAGGGGGAAGCGGACGAAAACTCGTTTTCACACACAAAAACCTGAACCTCGGGGACTTTGGGGGATTGATCATGGGCAGGATCAGAGAGGGGAAGGTAAGTTCTCCAGCGTCGGGGAACTGGTGAACCTCTCGGATTCGGGGAAAAGGAAAAGGTAAAAACGAGAGCTCATTACCAGCCAAAAATCCACAGATCGGTTCGCTGTGCGACTAGTAGACTGGTAATATTTTTTTTCCAAAAAGGGGATCAGGACTTAGACTTGGTACCAGGAAAAGTTTTTTAGGAATTCTTTTCTAGCTCAATGAAAGGTACGTATGTTAAGGGATTTTTAGAAAAAGCCTGTAAAATGGGGCAGAAAAAGAGCAAGATTCAAGGAAAAACCCAGGGTAAATCAGAAAAGGAGGAGAGGTATTGTTTGTCTGACATACCAAGAAATAGTCCATTAGGATGGATGTTAGAACATTGTGAAGATTGCCCTGCAAGATGGAGGAGGTTGAAAGAAAGAATGATTCACTATTGCATGGAGAAATGGGCAAACATGGAAGTTAAGAAATATCTATTCTGGCCCATGTTTGGCACCTTTGAAAGAGGGACATGCCGAGCTTTAGATGAGTTTGTGTCTGAGGAAAGTGGACCAACAAGTGAGGAAAGGGAATATGCTAGTACCGGACTATTCCCGGTCAGGACCTACAAAAACACAATGAACCCTGGTGAAACATGGGAGCCTTTAGATAATCTACCATCCACCCCCTTACCCGACCCCTCAAGGCCAAGTTCCTCTCCCTGCACCAGTAAATCCTTCGCACCAGCCTGTGCAACCACAGGCACCGCCACTGGAAGCCTTGCCTCTTCAAGGACAGGCTTCGGTGATGCAGCACTCACAGGATCAGTCCCTGCCCCCTCCTCTCCTGCAGTGCAGTATTGCATTTTATTTAAATGGTATGCTCTGTCTCACCCTTCCAAAATGTATGGTATATCCCAAGCCTGTGGTCCTGCCCTGAACCATTATGTACCTGTAATCCCATTGGCCCAAGTCTGATTCCGCACCCACTTCAATCTCCCTCTTAAACTGTGCCAGCGAAATCAGTCGCCCTCTTAGCCTTTCCCCTCTCTTAGCCCTTCTTCCCCCCCTCATGCCCCTTCCCTCCCCTAGGCTCCCCCCCCCTCCCCCTTTCCCCTTCTCCCTCAGTAACCATGCTGTTCCCGGGGATGGGACCCCCAATAAACCCTCATCTGATCAGCACCCTCAGAAGCCGTGTGGAGTCTCCTTGCCTGCCTGCTGCTGCCAGCCAACTCACAGCCTAGGGGGCCCTCCGGGGACACCCCGGCCCCCCCCCCAAAACGAACTGCAACACTGCAGCAGGCAGAAAACACAAGGCACACTCTTCCCACCAAGGAAAGTGATTCCCCACTGGCTAGCAGAACGAGGTGAAGGACCCGAAAGGTAAATGTGGATGATAGCGAGGACGAGGAAGGTCAGCAAAACCTCTTCCCACTGTGGGAAGTTCCAACTGCTCCTGGAATCATCGGGTACGTAAACGTACCGATCAATTCCAGAGATGTGCGAGCATTTAAAAAGGAGATGGGGAAGCTAATGGACGATCCAATGGGAGTAGCAGAGAGGCTGGATGAATTTCTGAGGAACAGCATATATTCATACGATGACATCAGTGCTATACTAAGGTGGCTGTTCAATGCTGAGGAACAGGATATGATAAGGTCAGCTGTAATAAGGGACTGGGAGCATAGAAACCCCCAGGGGGGGAACAGTGATGTAAAATGGCCTAGCCAGAGACCATCGTGGAATGCGCAGACTGAGGAAGACAGACATAAGATGATAGAATTAAGGAACATGATAATACAGGGTATCCGGGGGGCGGTACCAAAGGGACAGAACCTAAGCAAAGCACTAGGGGAATGTCAGGGAAGAGATGAAACTCCCACAGAGTGGTTGGAGAGATTAAGAAAAAGTCTCCAGATGTATTTGGGGATGGATCCCGACTCCACAGTGGGAGCGATTTTGTTAAAAACCCAGTTTGTGGCAAAGTCATGGAAGGATATAAGGAGAAATCTAGAGAAGATGGAGAACTGGCAAGAGAAGACATTACAGGAATTACTCAGAGATGCCCAGAGGGTTTACATGAGAAGGGATGACAAGAAACAGAAGGCGCAGGCAAAGGTCTTGGTGGCTGCTGTAAGAGAAGCTCAGAAACAGGAACGGGACTCAAGCATATGGAAATCAAATCAGGTACAAAAATCTCAAGGGAAACCGAACCCCTCTCAGAAAACATCCCCAAATAGGCAGAAAGATGGCCCCGAATGCTACTACTGCAAGCAAAAAGGTCACTTTAAGAGGGAATGTAAAAAAAGAATGAAGGACAAGATCTTCCAGGAGGATTAGAGGTGTCAGGGGCTTTTTAATGTGGGGTCCAGAACACCCAGAGAGCCCTTGATAAAATTGAAGATAGGACCCCAGAAACAAGAGCTAACATTCCTGGTTGATTCAGGAGCTGAGCGAAGTACTGTTCAGCAATTACCACGTGGATGCACTAAAAGCAAGGATTCCATGATGGTCATCGGGGCAAAAGGGGAACCCTTTAAGGTGCCAATTATAAAGGATGTGGAAATAGAATCTGAAAATAAATTTTGCTTGGGGAATATTCTATTAGTAGAAGAAGCAGACTATAATTTACTTGGGAGAGATTTAATGGTGATTCTAGGAATTAGTCTTATTGCACAGGACTCTCAGCTTATGGTAAGTTTATACAAATTAACCACTGAAGATGAGGGGAAAATAAATCCTAAGGTCTGGCACACAAAAGGAGAAGCGGGAAAATTAGAAATTGAACCAATCCATATTGAAATCAAGAGACCAGAAGATCCCATCAGGATTAAACAGTACCCCATTCCAATGGAAGGTAGGAAAGGGCTAAAACCAGTAATACAAGATCTGATTAGAAAAGGCACGTTGGAGCCTTGCATGTCAAGGCACAACACTCCCATCCTAGCAGTGCGAAAAATGGACAGTAGCTACAGGTTAGTGCAAGATTTGAGGGCTGTGAACCAGAGGACAAAAACTCTATTCCCTATGGTCTCAAATCCTTACACATTGCTAAATAATATCTCTCCTGAGGACACTTGGTATAGGATAATAGACCTAAA